CAGGAATGGCTCCTTTAAGTCTTCACAAATGGCTACCCTGCATCTTGGTGTCTGACATTTCAGTAGAGCCCAGCGGCCCTTTTTGTGGGTTGAGGCACCTTTTTGCCAAGTCCTGTACACAGACACCATAATCCCCACCCCGAACAGCTTGTGAAGATTACCCAAAGCCTGGAGGATTTCTGTTCATGTACTGATGAGAAGGAGAATGTCAAACAAAAGCTGGAGCTTGCATGGATAGATTCTCTGGACGAAATCTGGAGCTTCCGTAGCCTCTTTTTTCCCCAGTCTGTATGTTTTCTTTCTACCTTCCTTGCACCGTGTACACAGAGTCATTTGTCTTTTATTCTCCCGAGACATGTACAATGCATTAGTCTATTGAAGCTGCTTAATAATATGTGTGACCTGCACATCTGTTAATTAGAATACCCTTTTGTTACATTTGTAGAAGTTTTTAAGGGAAGCCATTTCCAGAGGAAAATGATGCAGGCACGTATAGACATTTAGCAGCATTCCCCTCACTCCGACTTGATGATTTTCTTGCTTCCTTTCTTGTTATACAAACGTAATCGTCATGAAAAGCAGTGGACTGATAATCCTTAAAAACAATTGTCCTACTCACAGCAATGAGCACGAAAGGCAGAGGAAATTCCAGCTGGTCTAGAACAAGATCTGTCTGCTCAACACGACACGGCAAAGGGAGCACGTTAAACCTGTGCTGCACTTGCTCAATTAAACACTGAGTTGTACTCAAGGTCATTTCCTTGCACTCTTTGATCTCCACAGGCTGGGGCTGAACTAGCTGAGAGACATCCCTTTCTTGACAACCCTGACTTTCTGTAGCCGAAAGGATAGGACTTTGTTGCTACTCATTTCTCACTCATTTCCTTGAAATACTGCTATAAATACTTACCAAGTACCTGCAATGCACTGCTTAACGGGCATGAATGGTACTTGCTTTTTTGTACACTCCCCTCCCAACCAGACTTTCTCATGATTTGGCAGGAACCAGAGGAGAGTTTTGTCTGCTGAGAAAATCACACATTTTCTGAGGATAGCAACTGCCACTATTTTTTCTGATGTGAACCCTTATCTGCTGAGAATTAAATTGAGTATTGCAGAGTCACGTAGAATATATGTAGTCTTTACACCATAGTGTTCTTCTGCATTCTTGTTATCCGTTTCCCACTGAAGAAGTGATCACCATTAATTGTGATGGACAATCAGCTTTCAAGCTGAAATAGCAGGAATTTATTGCTGAGTGTGATACTCTTCTTTTTCAGTTTTTTTTTCTTGAGGAGTAAAGGGTGGGGGGGAGGTTTGAGGCTGAAAGACAGGATGCTGAAAATAAAGCAAGGCGATGAAAAGAAATCCTTAAAGGAGGAAAGCATTTACCGGGGTTTGGGGAGAAGCACTGTTTTTTCAGGGACAGGATAAAGTAGTAAAAGAGAGGTAGAGTCTGCTGAGACTTGGGTCCCCAAGAAGCTGGAGGGTTCTCTGACTTCATATAAAATTCATCCTGGTAGCCTGTGTGAGACAGTGTCAACAAGAAGAGGAAACCTCTCTTCTTTCTTGTGTTCTTTATTTGTGCGAAGGGCTGGTGTGTTTTTCCAAAGGAAAATTATATCTTGAGAACCCCAAAGTGATGTTGTGGTCGTTCCCGTTTTCGTGCTGATGTGTACTTATTTGGGTCTGCCGATGTAAAATCTGTTCTACCTTTGCTTGCCACTTCACACATTTATTTTCACTTCAATTTCTGAAGCAGTGACATTGTGCACTGTATTTTGAGTGCTAATGTTGATTGAAGTTCTCCCTGAAAGGATGTGCACTTGAACTGTCATGAGGGTGAGTGATTGACAGCAGGTAGAAGTACTTTTTGTGTCAAGGCTTTGTCAAGTCATTGTTGTAAAACCTACTTTACTGAATACCAATAATTCCTGCTAGATGTTGAATCAAAAGATACTGTTCCAGCACCATTTTAGAATAATATTTAATACTTAAGAGTCCTTCCCTAATAGGCAAATGTAAGGTAAGTGAATAATGGTACTTTATGCTAGGTTACGCCATTCGGGGGGCTCCTGTGCACATATTTGCAGCCCAGGATAAAGGGAAGAACTCTTCTCATTCCTTTGTACACTGATGCTGAGAGAATCTGAATGTGAGAGTTTGTTTAATACCATGTCTTTTATAACTGCTTATTCAGCACATGTTCCATAATAAAGGTGTTTAATAACTCACAGCTGTTGATATTTTTTATGTAGGAAATGTTTCCTTTCTTCTATGAAAACATGCTTTAAAATAAATTAAATAATAATAAATAAATTAATAATCTTAAAGATTTTAAATAGTCTAAATATATGTTTAATAAGCAAAGAAGCTTGCTATTCTCAAAATAACTTTCACCATTGGAGGAAGCCTGAAATGTTGCACCATCTCTATTTATTTTTACATCAATACATTTTTTTTCTTCTTATGTCAAAATGCTGTGTAAGTAGAATTCCCGTTTTGCTTTTTGAAAGGCTTTAATAATCTTAAAGATTTTAAATAGTCTAAATATATGTTTAATAAGCAAAGAAGCTTGCTATTCTCAAAATAACTTTCACCATTGGAGGAAGCCTGAAATGTTGCACCATCTCTATTTATTTTTACATCAATACATTTTTTTTCTTCTTATGTCAAAATGCTGTGTAAGTAGAATTCCCGTTTTGCTTTTTGAAAGGCTAACGTGAACAAGGCCACACCGCTGGGCATGCAGAATTTGACTAAGGCCTTTTGTTACAGGTAATTACCATCTGAGGCCATGAGATAGTTGGGTATGGAGTGTGAGTTTAATACTGAGGAATTGCCACCTAGAGCAATTTACTGGGGATCTGGAATCATTATTTGCTTTACAAAAGAGATTCAGATTCCACTGCTGTTGTTTTTGGTTACAGAATAAATTTTAAAATTAGTTTCTAATCCAATAGGAAGGCTGAATATTATGCTTTGAGGCTGTATAATATTTTTAGCACTTCTGCTTGATCACTGCCAACAGAAGTAATTTCATTTCAGTATACTTGGACAATGAAAAGAGTGTAATTGTTTTGTCTGAAAAACTCATACAACTTTACAAACGTTGGAAATGCTTTATTGTTCTGGAGATGTACAAAGAGAGTGTCTCAGGAAAGTGAATGAAATGTCATCTCATAGATGGAAACTTTGTAAAAAAGATTTGTTCTATTAAAAAAGCTGGCTGAGACAGCAGGGATGGTTTGGGTAAAAAGTAAGCAGTAGTAGAAATAAGTTTGTTGAATCTTGTTAGTTCTCTGGGCTTGTAAAAGTAGTAACTCTAGGGGGAAAATTACAATGTTAAAAATGTAAGAAGTAATGGGGTTTAATTACTTTACAGAAACAAAACCTACGGAGAGGATAACTTGTAATATCCAACTGCTTTCTTAGCAAGCTGACTGAACTGCTTGTTTAATTTGGGCCTGTTATAATCGTATTGTGTATAGAAAATAAACAGAGTAGCAGTTGGATCCAGTGATGATCTTGCCAGATCTGAAAGAGCCATATGTACGTATCCTGTGTGAGGAAGTGTCATGGGTTGTTGTTTTGGGAAATACACCTGCATTCATACTACAAATGCATGTCCTATGAATTTTCATTAAAATGCATCTCATACGTAAGGCACTCCAATGTAGTACTGGAGTAAGAGGTTTTTAAAGTTGATTTTAACAGTTTAGCTAGTAGAAGGAGCAAATTCTGGAATAGCAGGCCAAAGTCTGCCCCAATTCTTGTCTTCTAGGGGTCCCAATTGTATTTTCTGGGGCCATGGGATACAGTAAGGCTTGCCTTTGGTCCAAGATGAGTAATATGAAGAATAAGGCAATTTGTACAGTTCAAGAAGAAATGTTCAGCATTTGCATTGTGTAAGTAAAAGCATGGGAAGTAAAGGAGGAAGAAGTACAGATGCACCAAATGGAAGGAAAGGGAAAGGGAGGATGAAGTGGAAGAGGCTACTAGAGATTTTTTTATTTTCTGGCCTTTAATTTCACTGGGTTGCTTTTGTTGCAAGAAGACAAATCATTACGTGCTTTGTCTTTCATGATTTTTGACATCCCAGCAAAGATGGATGAAATAAAAATACATTGAAATGCCTGAAGGGATTCAGTAGAAGCTCAACTAACTTCAACTTACGGATCCTGGGAAGAAGCTTATTCGTGTGTTCTTAAAGAACCTGTTGCCATGCAGTCCGCAGCAGGGGTTCATCTGGGTCCTGCAACCCTTTGGAAGGGATGCTCTGTCTCCCCTTTTCGAGGTCCTGTCTCTGTTCTTCATTGGAACTCGGGTCTTTAACGACTCGCGCCAGCTGAGATGTGTAGTGTTTCTTACCAGGTATCTTAATATGTGTTGTTGCTTTTTCTTTTAAATTCAGGTTGTGAAAGGCCTTACCTATTTATGGAGTCTAAAGATTTTACACAGAGGTGAGTAACAGATGTTTTCTGTTTTCCAATGAAATACCATATTATTTTATTCTAACAATGCTTTCTACAGAGACAGTAGACCATACTAACATCTCGTTTGATTCCAGTGGAGTAATGCAGAATGAATCTTACTTATTAGCCTTGCAGATTTTCTGATAAAATATTTTTACTGCTGTTCTCTTTTATTGCCCTCCCTCCTCCCCTACAAAGAAAAAGGCTAAAGGGAGAAATGAGTTTTATAGAGATTTAGATGCTTAGGGTTACAAACAGGTGCTCAGTGGAAAAATCAGCAAGGAAAATCAGATGTTTGACTAGTATTGGAAAATTCATTATCTATCTTCTATGTGCTTCAGAAATTTCACATGACAGCCACAAGCGTTGCTCTAAAATTGTGGCCCACTGTCCTTTAACATGGCCATGAATAATTAAAGAAACTTTAAACCTGCTTGGACGTAAGCCATTTTTGGGTTTTGCTGTTTATTCTCCTTCCTGAAGCTAGCCTGTATTTTTTTAAATGTCTCATCTATTTCTTACTTTTTAGTGTTGTTAAATTTTGTTAAAAAATTTTCTATTGTGGTAAGTTAATTCAGATATACTAGAACTTTCAAAAACAATGTCAGTTCTGGAAACAGTGGAAAATGCTGTTTAAAGAACAAAGAAGCCCTTCCCCCTACACCACCATCCCCACCCCCCCAAAAAAAAAAAAAGGCTAGAGAAACTCATTACATTTATAATGTTTCTAAAGTGTCTGAAAGTAACTGCTCTGGTTCCTAATGTTGCTAACAGTACTGTTTAATTTAACCCATCTGCTCACTCAGCCCGTGTGCACAGTTGGAGCATGCAGTAAGCGACATCATTTGTGATTGAAAGAGAAGTGTAAAGTAGAGAGACACGTAGAAAATTTTAAGTTGCAAACCAAATAGGTAAGACCATTTCTTCTGGGGTGCCTAGTTTTGGAGTGGCTGAGAAGTAGGTGCGAGGCTCCGTCAAGGTGATGAGAAATGCCTGGGTTAGGCACCCAGTGTCCTGCTGTGATCAGTGCAAGGAGTCGGGCACCTCTGGAGAGTCATTTGGGAAATCTGTGCGCTGAGTGGGACGAAGAAGCTAATAGGAGACACTAATTAGCAGTACGTATTGAGGTCCTGCCCCTCCTTGGAGCTTAGGCTCAGACTGTCTTTAGGCTTTTGTGGAGAGTTTGTAATGGAGGAGGAGATTGATCCTTCCTTTGCGTAATAGCCGAGCGAGCAGCTGTGCAACAGGACATCAGCTTCAGTTCCTCCTCGGGTCTCACAGCATCTCCTTCCTGGGAGATCGCTCTGACGTGAGAGCAGAGGCTCTCTCCTGGGTGGGAGAAAGAGGGCTGTGGCCAGAAGAGTGAGTAGAGATCAAGTAAGGACTTGGCTTTGTTACCCCTGATTAGAGGGCGAGTGAAATGCTAAGGCTGCTGGTGTATGTGACCCTAGGCTGTCACTGGATTAAAAGACCAGAAATAACCCAGAGTCCATGACCAACTCAGTGCAGACACAGGTTACCAAGGAGGCTTCATTTCTGGTGATGGTTTAAACGTTTCACCTACTGGCCTGAATGTTGCCAGATGCAGAGATTTATCAGCTCCATCCGCTCTCAGCAAGAGGATGAGCGGTCTAGGTGCCAGAACTGCCACAGCAATTGTCAGAATAAATATAAAAGAAAAAGCAGCTGGAGCGTCCGTGGCTGGGTATCACTCTCTATAGGCTACACAGTCTTTGCCATGCTTTTGTAATACCTAAAATGAAAAAGCAGATTTGAAATTTTTTTTTCATTTTTAATTTTTTCATTAAAGATTCTGGCCACCTACTGAATGTGATTTGGAGAAAGCATTGTCGTCAAGCATAAATACTGTAACTGTAACATTTTATTGTTGTTCTGCTGTAAATTTAGAACCTGGGTCTGATTTTTGCTTTGCCAGTAAAACAAAATCTCCCCTTCTGTATGGGTTTCATTGCCTTGATTGAAGAGCTGCTCTGAGTTTTTGATGAATTACATACGGTCCTTGCTATGGTGTAAAGAAAAGCGCTGAAACTGATTTTTCATCACACTTCAGATTTTTCTGGCCTTGGTCTGTTGCTAGATTGACCAAGGTGAGAACAGCATTGCAAAATGCCATGGAGGGGATTTTCAGCAGAGTTTCCTCAAAGGATTGGTTTTCAGTGTTACTCTATACCCATTTTTAAGATACAGAACATGTGTACTTCTGTATCTTAAAAATGGACACAGAGTAATACAATGCAAGGAAGACGCCTATTTCTGAAAGTAATCTCCTTCAGCTGTCTGCTGGTTTTAATGCATCAGAGGTAAACAAAAGAAAATTTAACCCTGGCTTCCTTGCTGTCACATGTAACGCAGACCGTGCAGGAAGCTCGCATGGGCTAAGAAGTCAAGAATTTCCACCGTGGTGATAACGAAGGTGGAGAAGCAATCATCGTGAAGAAGCGGTGTAAGGCAGTGCAGCAAACGACAGTTTGTGACTAGAGCATGGATTAAAGCAAAGGAAACAAACAATGAGCAAGTCTTTTATTCCAGATCAGACATTTCAGCAAATATTACAGCTTAACTTCAAAACAAACCTTGCAACTAATGAGGTGATAGCCGTGCATATTAATAAACCCAAAGCTGTAGTCGTAGTCATCACACCCACATCAAACATAAACATAAGATTAACACCTACAGCACTTCTTTGGAAGATGTGAGAATGTCCCAATGATAAGTGTGCTCTTTTCCCCAGAGGATAAGAAGTAGAAATGGAAGGGTAATGAGAAATTAACTTAGATTTAAAACAGAATTAGCAATTAAACAAGTCTAATCACGTACAAAGTCAAAGTTTGTATAAAGACAAACCAAAATCTGTTAAGTTCAAGAATAAGTATAGACCGTATGCATTTTATCTGGTATGTTTTTCTCTGTTCACACCTCCTTATTAAAAGAAACGTATGAAATAGATGTTACCCGCTTGTGTTTAATTGTACTGATCTGTATTTGTATGCACAACTGTGTACTGGGGGCCATATATATTTGCACGGTTTGGGGACCTTCGTTTCTGACTAGGTTTTGAATTTGTGTCAGAGTTTTTGGAAGTGCTTTCTGGTTTGTGATGCGCAAGGTTGAGCTAACTGGAGCAGAGGGGTGCTGGTTGGTAGGGACGGGCACTTGTGCAATACGGACGATGAATGTTCCTGTCTTTTAGTTTGCTGAGGATTTTACCAAAGATGACCAGAGCCTCGTATTTGACTTTTTCCCTCTGCTTTTTTAGCTTTGTGAGAATTAATCAGCATTAGTGCCATGTATAATGAAGCACAAACAAAAATACTAGGCGTGTGTGTGTGTGTATACATATACATACATACTTGTGTTTATATATGTATAGCTAAACACATACATGCACACTCATGGACCACTTAGGCTTATTTAAAAAAAATAATCCTGGCCTCTGCAAAAAGCATGCTGATGAGTCATTACGGAAAGAAAGTATTTTCATTCTTCCAGCAGCTTCACTTTGTTGACAGTAATGTTGTGTGAGCTGTCTGCAGCTAAAATTGTGCTTTTGTATCTCTTGTCTCCCTTGAACCTGGCGTGTTGCAGGTTTATATTTTTAAAAGAGAAGAAGTCAAGAGACACCTTTTAAAAATCTGGGTTTTTTTCTCCCACGATCATTAATCTGTTTGCTTTTCAATAAAACAAAATGACTGAAATGTTTGGTGGTCAAAAAGCTGAACCTCTGACAGTTCTGTTTATTACTGGTAAGTAAGAGCTTGGAGGTCCCATTTATTTGCAGAGAGGTGAAATGACTTAGGCAGATATATCATAAAGAGGACTTGTTCATCCTCTATAATGATGCTTCATAGAAATCATTTGTATTAAGCAAGCACTGGTAATGGGAGCATAATGACCCCTTTTGGCTCTTGTTTAAATTCTTTCACTTCTAAACAGTAATATTAATCACAAGCAGATGGTGCAGAACATTATTTATGCACATTTGTTTTCCAAAACCAAAAAATGTTTAACCCATTAACTGAAGCAGTTTATGAAACAAAAAGGCTAATTTACTGATTGGGTGATTTTTCTCCCCACTTTCAATATGAGATGTTTTGTGAAGTGACATTTTTGTCTAGGATTGTCACTTCCTTTTTTCTTGAGGAAATCAACGCAAGCGTTGGAATTCATAGCAAATATTTGTGTAAATCCCCCATTTGCGGTGCTGTTTAAATTCTGCTGCAAGGACAGATAGTATTTGTTCTTAGCAGTGCTTGTTTGGCATAGGCTTCCTTTCCTTAATGGGCTGATCGGTGATTGCTTTTTTTCATTTAGGATTTTTTTTTTTTTTTTTTTTTTTTTTTAAGTTCTCTTCGTGGAAGGATTTCAGGATCAAGGAATGCTTAATGAATGACAGGTGGTTTTTTTTAATTATATTGACTTACTGTCACATCCCCCACGGTAGCAGGGAAGGGGAGATGGGGTCTGCAGATCCCCAGGAACACAAGGTGATGCCTGGATAGAGCCTTGGCTCTTCCTTGGTGGGAGCTGGGCCGTCCTGGTGGGACGGGGGATAAATGTGGCATGATGGTTTCCTCTGGTGGGTCGTGTTAAGGGAACAAGGACTTGTGGGCTGCACTTGGAGAACATCCTGCCTCTTCCTCTGAACTCATGACATGGTTGAGTCCTTATAGAAAGAAAATTTGGGTACGTGCATGTTGCCTCATCATCACTTTCTGTGAGGTCGCAGTGTTTCACGCATTGCTAAAAAATAATGCAGTTGATCTGGTCTTGATCCCACGAACCTATTTCCATCCGTACTGCACCAAAATGTTTCTTTTGTCCGTTTCGTTATTAATTGTATTTATTACATCCTTTACAATTAAAAGCAAGAACCTCTTGTTATATTGCAGTTTTCTTTTAAAAGTGTTAGTACTGTAACCAGCTGGATTCGTGGTGCAGAATGTCAGTATTTTCTGTATGTGTAATTGCATCTGCTGTTCACTACAATTCAGCGCAGGCCTAGTAACGAGGTAGCTCAATTGGCTGCCATATTTTTAGAAAGAAGGTTAAACAGGATTACTGTGCAACGTACTGTTCTCGGGATTCAGGATAGAGCCTGCTGATGTATTCAGCATGTCTTGTTAGATTTAGCAAAGTCACTCGACAGCAGACAGGAGCGTGCTGCTTAGCGGGTTCCCGCAAGCAAATATTTGAGTCTTCCTGAAGTTTTAGTTAGAAAACAGATTCCAAAAATGTTGTTAGGAAGTGTATGGGAGATTTTGTGACTGCGTGGCTTGCTCTCATCACCTGTAGCCGTGGAATAGGTAAAAATCCATCAAAAATGCAGCATGCGGATTGAATTCCTAAAGATGAAATGGAGATCAAGATACACAAACCGAGTCTGTCAGTGCTGTAACGTGGCGAATTCACTGGTGACTGATTTTTTCTTTTGGCTTTGGGGGGAAGTTGCAAAATGTACCAGCAGTATTAATACCTAACTTAAAACATACAGATCCACTTAAGGTATATAACGTACTGTTGAATGCTCCCCTTTTTTAAATTGGATTTTTAGCTCAAATATAGGAAAGCATTTAATCAGCTTGTTAATTGAGGTTATACATTTCTACATTGCAGAGACAAATTAAGCAAGCTACTGTGGTACCAGAAAACATCTGCTAAAGAAAGGCAAACTTAATGATAAACAAAATTAGGTTCTTTTCTAGTTGGGTTTCATCCATCTCCACCCAACTAGTGTTCACTTTTAAAGAAGGCAAAGATGCAAGCTATTGCTTTTAATCCATTTTGACAGAAGAAAGCAGTGATTAGGCAAAGCCACCGTGCTCTAATCTTCCCAAGTTTAAGCCAGGCCATAACACGCACATTACGCTTTCTGACTGGCATCCCCGTACAGAAAGATGCTCAATGTTTCCTGCACTACAGTCAGGCTGGATGTTCATCAGTTTATTCACATGTTGATTTTACAGTATGCAACAGAAGTGTACCAACTTCTTTTGGCATCAGAGGGGGTCAGCATTAAGATCTTTACGCTGACAGTCTGGCCTTACGATGTACATTGATGTTTTATTTGCTGGCAGCAGGATTAGTAGTCATTTTAAGGCGCTGCTGGCAGTTGACCTCTGTAAAAGCTCTGAAACCGTGAGATCAGAGCTGTTTTATGCAGTAGAAGCTGTGGAGGTGGAAGCCGGTAGCTTTGAATAATGGTGTGCGCAAGAGCAAAGCTGCACTGTGTATGTTCCTGGGGCAGAAGGAGGCTCAAATATGCTTGTGTATTTGTGTTTTGCCTGTGTTCCTATATGCAGGTGTTTGTATTGGATACTTTGAATTTGTAATTTTTATAGAACATTAAATTCTGCTCTTGTCACTACATGGAATTAAGTGAGGGCTATTAGAGAAGAGGGAGGCAGGGTTAATTGCAGTGTTAGAACACAAAGTCGCAGGGCTGGGATGAACCTTAAAAGGTCAGCCCGGCTATCCCTTGATACTAAAACAGGCTTCACCGTTTGCACCACTGATTTTGGCTTGTTTCTAAATTGTCCAGTGACAGAGTTTGTTCCCTCTCTGTCATTGCCACGTCATGCCGTAATTTGCAGATCCTTTTTTGCAGACCTTCTCCAGCCTACACTCCAGGCAGTTGTTTAATCCTATATTTATGCAGTTGGTTAATCCCTGTCTAAATGTAGTGCTTCCACTTGTGCCTGTTGAATTTCATCTTATTTTTTCAGTCTGATTTTCCAATTTGTCAAGATCACTTTGAATTCTAGGTCCCATCCTTCAGTGCACTTGCTGTCCCTCCCAGATTGGTGTCACCTGCAGATTTGGAACTTGATGGCCTTAAGGGTCTTTTCCAACCTAAATGATTCTGTGATTTAATAACATGGATTATCAGTATTTGAGAGGTACAGATATAATGTCATCCGTGCTACTGACTGTTACAAACCAGAGGTTGCATTTGAAATATATCTTTGAAATATTTCCTGTTAAAATCCATCATGCCAATATTCGTAATGACCTCTGTATATACGATGCGTGTCTAGGATAATATATATTAAATCCAATTTTGTTCCCTCAACAGATGTGAAGCCGTCTAATATGTTGGTGAACACGCGAGGCCAGGTGAAGCTGTGTGACTTCGGGGTGAGCACTCAGGTAATTCCCCCTTTAGATATCTGCCCGCTCTCTTTCTAACGTCAAAGTCACCTGGCTGCCAGACAAACAGCCCCACAGCAAGCTCCCCTCTGCTGGGACAGCCCTATTCATTTTTAATCTCTGGGCGACTTTTCTTCATCTGAATATGATTGTTCATTGTTTAATGACAGTAAAAACTGCTGATATTGTAATTACTACTTACGAATAGCAAACTTCATTGATATGCAGCTTTGATATGAAAGCGTTTTGGCCAGACAAAAGGGAGGGCAGAACGAGAGATGTGTCTGGGGAGCCCAACTGGCCCACAATAAAAATTAATATTGGGAGTAACAATAGTGGTGGGCTTTTACAATGTGCAGCACAAATTTTAATTAATTTCCATTTTGGGCCTCCCTGGAGAACTTCTCTGATAGTGACCCATGAGCTTGCTGTGATGTTGATTTGAATTTCAGCACCTTTACTCTCAGCCAAACATGAGGACCAAAGAGAAGGTCAGCCTTGTATTATAAGTTGTCAGAGTCTGTTGTCCCTCCAGCGTATTTAGTGCTCGTTGCATTCAAGTGATAAATGTGGCTTTATTCACATCTTGAGCCAGCTGACTGAAAAATGAGTGCGTTCAATCCTACTTCAAATTGACTTTATATCAGACTAGTTTGGGGTACTAAAGCGATAAGCATCCTGTTTAACAGAATTGTTTAAGGTTATCTGCCATAAACTGTAATGCAGTGCTTGTTTAAATTGGAACTCTCATTCCGAACAAAAGAGAGATTTAATCATTTTTAATGCCTTTGCAGATAAATTTGTTCCCTTTTACATAATTTTTAGTTGATTTATAGGAATGATGATTGTAGGTTAAATGAGGAATAATTGCCCATTTTATTTCCACATTATCTTTATATTGTTCTAACAGACTGTTTTGTCTGATAGCTGGTGAATTCTATAGCCAAGACGTATGTTGGAACAAATGCTTATATGGCGGTAAGTGGATTTATGCAGGAATAACATTTAAATAGAATTATTTGTTCACAGTCTTGTTCTGTGTAATGCAGGATATACTCTAAATCAATTCTCAAACTTCATCCCTCCCCATCCCCAGCATAAGCTGTGTCTTAATTGTGTGTGCCACCAAACAATCCCTTTTACTGTCTCACAGACCCACTCCCTTCCTCTCTGTGCTCACCTACCAGCCCTGTGACAACTGCACTTCTTGCTGATATGGAAGAGTAATATTGGAAAAGTGTTTCTTTCATGTATTTTTAGTTGTCTTTAATGCATTGTAACAGCTGGGAACAAAGAAGGGAGCCCGTTCAACATAAAAAAGCAGCTTTCCACTGACAGGCTGCAGCTCCTTGCGGACCGCTGACGGTCCCGTGCTCTGAGCCTGCAGTTTAGCAAAGTATTTAGACATGTGCAGGAGTCTCATGGACTTCTTGATACCTAAGCACCTGTGTGGGTGTTTCGCATGTGAAGCTGCTATGTAAATTTGAACCTAAAATATTTGGACTAAGAATTTTAGGGCATTAAATTGCACGTTGTGTGATCTTCATACCATATCTACCAAGTCATCAATATGTTTCACTTTTCTGGATAAATTTTGGTCAGAATGCTTCTTATGATGAGACTGCTTTTGTCCTTTTTCTGTATGTTAAAACATAAATTCCCATCATTTTTAGATCAAAGTAAAACATTGCTGAAGATGTATCATTTGGGGGAACGCTGCTGCTGTTAGCTAGGGTGAGAGGTTTGGGTTTAGCAGTTCTAGCTGACCTGACAACTGGCGTGTGGTGTTCATGTCTTTGAGATTAATACCGTGATGAGAGCCAGTCTGAAAGCAAACGACAAAAGTTAGCCTGTATTTTCCATTAGATCAATTTTAGTTTAACAGATGTGAAAACTTAAATGCTTCGGTTTAGAACAGTGTATTAACTTCGTCTTTTATTTTTGGCCATTAAAATTCTTTTAGCAAACTACATATGTGGTAATATTAATGAGGAAAAAATAAGTGTTCAGCTTGTTTAAAAAAAAAAAAGTGCAAACGATGCAAAGTGGTTGATACTTGTATTTTTCAAACCTCAGAAAAAAAGGAGAGAGAAATCCATGACCTTTAATCGCTTTCAAGTATTTTTTCTTACTTTCTTGTGAGAAGAAAGCAGACCAGGGTGTACATTTATTTGCTGAGTGCTTTTCTAGTCAGGGTGTACTCATTATGTAGCTTCTGAAACACTCGTGTCACCATCCTGGGAAGAGTTGGGCTATCCTGTGTCATCAGAATATTATTTGCAGAAAAATGTTTTAAAAAAAAGAAAGGAGAGAAGGAAATCTGGTCTTCTATATTACCACTTTTGCTAGTAAGCCTGCTGATTTCTACGCCTCCGTTTTCTACAAGAACGAGAATATAGCGATTCAGACAAATAAACAGGTTCAAATTAATCAACTTTTCCAACTCAGCTGTTACTCTTAGAGTGGTCTTAAGCAGATCTGAGAATTAAATTGTATTATGCTTTTAGTGTACAAATCAAGATTACTGTTCTCTTTCCCAGGTGTACATTAAATAAATTACTTTTTTTTCTTATTGTTTATGGATGAATGTAATGCATTAATCCATTAACTGAGAAAGAGAAGCTTAAGCGAAAACGTACTTGATCTGATTTCTTGTGTTAAAATTGTTTTACTTCTGAATGAGTCATTTGTCGTCATCAAATTTACAGTCTAGTCATCAAAAAATAATGAAGGTTGTAAGCTTTGGTTTGCCTACTTGGCAGACCGTGAGTGAATTTGAAACCATTAAAAAATTGAGGTTTCTGTTTAAAATAAGCAAGAAAAGCTTTTTGATTGAGAAATTAAAATTTCCAACAAACATACATTTTCTGTAAAATCATTTTATCACCACTTTATATAGAAAAAAATTTTGGATTAAAAAAATAACCAGTTGAAATTTTTAAGAGAAAATATTTTTGAGCTGTGTATCCTTAGGATGATCTCTGTGTTGCACACTTTACTTATGCATAAGTTATTCTTATTTTCATCTTCTTTTCCATACTTTTAAATTCATCTGACTAGACTTTTTGTTTAAATCTGCAAATTATTTACTTGCCGCTGTCTTCTGTGAATACATAATTTTTAAATATAAGTTGCTGTTTAAAACTTGAGCTTTTATAACGGAAGAATAAACAATTTAATATTGCTCAGTGTGAATTATGCATCTGATTTGGCGGCTCAGGAAAGGCCAGGGTCTCATCTGCAGTAAAAAGATCTGCGAGTGTTACCATCTTGCCACAGGTGCGGTGTCTGCTGGTAATAAAACATGCTTGGCCAGGATAGCCCATACCATGTTATGTTATAAAGGCAGATGTATCTGTCATATCTGCATCTGTATGAGGATCTTTGTCGTATAAAAGGATGCTTAAAAATCATGTTCCTATACGATGCTGCTGCAAACATTTCTAAGATACGCTGACCTAGGCTAACTATACAAGTAAGATTTTTGGGTCACTGTTCAGCTCAAAATAAATGAGGCTCCGTCAAAAAGATTTTGTTCCAGTTACATTCTGGGGTGGTTTTTTAGGTTATGGCAGTTTTGGAAGGCTATCCTTAAAGATAATGTGGGCAGCACTGTGTTTTTTACTTAACATTCATGCTGCGATAAAAGCTCTTGACCTGGGATTAGCAGTGCAGGGTAAACATCTGAAAACACATTGGACTGGCACTAATTTGGGAGTTTGTTTTCTAAAAAAGGTCTCTGGATTATTAAAGACTAAAAATACAGCCAGTGCTTTGTAGGTGGTTGGGCTAGACAGGTGCATTAACAGCACAGTGGGGAGAGAAGTCTCATGGAGCCTTTTATTGTTACATTTCATGCTGTACTTGACCTTGGAAATGCTTAAATTGTAGCTTTCAAGTAAAAACTAGCAGTTATATTTTACAGCTCTCTATTTCATGAGGCATTAAACTTGCTATTAACAGTTTTGAGTGAAGTCTTTTTTTCTATAGGTCAAAAATGAAATTAAAAAGTATATAAAATAAAATTGCTGGCATGTGACTTCATTGATTCTTTTAGCTTCGATAACTTTGCTTTTTAAACCATATTTGCTCCCCAACCCCTTGAATCAACATCAGGAGCCCGTTTTCCTAGCGTACCTTGCTGCCGTGCCTGGGCTTAGCAGTAGATGGATATACCATTGGACTCTCACAACTTGACCTTGCGCTTTGCTGCGTATGTGCAAGCCATTGGCTTTTTTGTTGGATAAAACAGCCCAAACACAAATGCCAAGGTCAGCTTTACAAGGTGCATAGCAATGCATAGCCACAAGCCTGAGCATAACGGAGTCCTTTGCTCTTGCAGAGGAGGCAAAAATAAATAAATAAGTTATGTTTGAGGAGTGGATTTGCACTCTGCCAGGTTACTTGGTGAGCTTTAAGCTTCTTTGCATTTTCTCAGTTGATTTGTTTGCCCTGGGCTAGCTTTTGTGGGATAAGTACGTACGTTTGTTTGCTAGGCTCAAGAAGATGTTTCTTTCCGTCTCTTTGCAGCCTGAGCGGATTTCAGGAGAACAGTACGGAATTCATTCGGACGTTTGGAGTCTAGGGATTTCCTTCATGGAGGTATGCAAATATCTATCATTTTCATGTGCACATTGGAAGAATCAAATGAAATCTAACATCAAAATATTTTAATGTAGTCTTTGTATACTCTTTTATATGTGCATGCTTTTAACTACTGCTAACTTTCTTGGCTGTATTTAGAATGGGTTTGTTCTTACTGCATTTAATTTGGTTAGATACAAAGAGCCTCTGTGCAAACCATATAACAGTCTTAAGCCCTCTAATAAAACTCCATGTGAGAGTAAGAAGTAGGGCCTGGTACATGGATACCTCTGGGATTGAAGATGATGGTATTTATTGCATCTTTGCAGGCCAGGACAGAGTGGGCTATTATTAGGGTTAAAATAGCGTTATGCAGATTCAAGGTTTGAGCTGGTTAATGGCCTTGCAAAATCTTCACGGAAATATTTGCACGATAGTAGGAGTCTCTCCCTGTGTGATTAAATAAAGTGTTTGAATTTAAGTGTTCACAAGGGCTTTTAGAAAGATTTCTCACAAAGATAGTTTCAAGCAGGAGAAAGTCTTATCAAAATGAAGCAGTTCAAAGAGAATGTGGTCGTAAATGCAGTCATTCAGGAGAAGCCATGCTTTCTGCAGCCAGAACAAGTTTCCTTGGATTCAGGAAAAAGGTGGTTTTTTCAGCTTAGGGTTCATCAGATCTTTAAAGAAACATGAATTTCAATGGCTTTATAAAAACGGACGATTGTTTATAGGAAAGATAACCTAGAGCGTATAAGTTCAGTAGAAATGCCTGTGTTGTGATCGTGTCTTGACCAGTAAAATCAGTTCTGGCTTGGTCTGGTCCGGGAGAAGGGACAGGTAGCTCTGGTCTGGTGGTGACAGAAGGGTATGTTGACGCTGGCCTGGGCTGGCCACAAACAAGCCAGCCTCGCTTGGAAACCCTTGTAGCCTTGCTAGCTCGAGCAATGAGCTCTGAGGAGAGTTTTTCAACTCAAGGACAGTTGTTTCCTCCTATAAGAACAGTTCATTCAAACCGTCGATGACTTGCATCATCTTTCGTGCACAGCCCGACAAAGGTGTGATACGATTAACTGAAAAATATAGGTGCCCTTCCCTTTTTTTCTGGTATCATATAGTATCATTAAGGTGAAGCTGAATATACCTTTTGGTGAAGTGCAACTGATGTTTTTAGCAGAAGATGAGATAGAAGTTAAGTAGTCTTGGTGCTGGCCCTCTGCATCTAGGCAAGTTTCACATTTTGTAGCCTGAAAGTTAACCAAGACTATTGTTATGTTTTCAAACAATAAATTCCTTGCCAAATCAGTTTTAACCAAAATGAAAATACTTAATGCCGAATCATTGCATTCAGATCTTGTAAATCTTTTCCAGAGTCTGACTGAAGCTAACTCTGAATTACAATAATGACATACTTTAACGTGTCACAGGGGATGCAGTACTCTTAATTTGTTTTACTGCAAATTTTAATGGTTTGTGATGCTGGAGAGCCATCACAATTTTGGGAGAGATACAGAACATACTCACGCATTCTGTAAAAGAGTCTAGCCGGCAAAGGGCTAAAATGATACTGCATTACGTTAAGACTTGACTATGGTATTCTTCCTGATTCACGGTGGAATAGAGTGATATAAATGCAGAAGTCCTATCCAGCAAACATTTACTGGTTCCTTTGCTGAATAAAAGATGTATTTCAATGTGCGGCAGCAATATGATGATTTACCACCTAGACCAAGATATTTGGAATTTAGTGTAGGATTACTAGTAGGTAACCTGGCTGGTCGTGAATTTGATTTGAAGGATGAATTTTGCATTATATTAGCCAACATTAGGAAAACTCCTTTAATTTGCATTTGCTCTCCTCTTTTAAACCTTCTCAACTTTTTTTTTCCTCTCTCACTTTCCACGAATGTCTTCTGAACCAGATGTACAAAAAACAATTTGGTTCTGTGTGCTTTGTTAATTGGTATGTCATCTGGTCCTCCGAGACCTCTCTTCAACATGATCGCTGTTTTATTGAAGTGGTTTGAGTGATGTGTTAAATGATGAAAGCAAGGACAGTGGCTTAGAAAAATGTCTCAAAAAAGGTGAAGAAGATGCTCAAAAAGCCACACAAGGTCACTGTCATTAAAGTAACACTGTATTGACATGGGGATTGGAGTGGAGACACCCAGGCTCTTGTTGATGGAACTGTTAAAAAGGGAAGTTAGCATTTGCTGTAGGATTTTAAAATCATCTCCACCTAGAAGTATAATACTCCAATCCCTACAACTTCAAGCTAGCACAGTTATAGCATGTTAATGTAAAAGAAATGGCATGTTGGGACCAAGTTAGCAAGGACTGTTCTGACGTATGGTAACATAAAATAGCAGCTAAGTAAATCTTCTCATTTTCTTTAATATTCTTCTGAGCCTTTAAAATGTCTTTAATTTCTTTGCTGCAAAGCTATGTGTAATGAGAAACTGAACTGTTGCTTTTGAAGCTTAAGAAAACTGCCCCAAAAAAGTTGCTAGCAGAGTGTGAAAAGTATTAGATGTGGATACCACCTAAGTTTTGAGAGATGGGGAGCATTCTTGTTCCTTTTGAAGTAAGAGGTGTCTGAGGCTGTTCAGTCTTCCCTTTGCCAAAAGAAAAAGGAAAAAAAAAAAAAAAGAAGAAATGCTGTTAGCTTTTTCATTTTTTTGAGTTTGCATTTCTTTCTTCAGGATTTTTTGAAGCGAATTTAAATTAAAATTAAATTTAATATATAATCTGTAAAACTTTAGAAGTGTTTCATCACAAATAGTTTATGTGTTTTCATGAGGTTTTTAGATGTTTTATTTAAGTGCTCTTGGGTTGACAAAGCAAGTTCAATTTAAACCAATGACATTGCTGTCACTACATTGAAGACTGTGTCAGCATTTTCATTATAAAAGCTGTTTTTCAGGGGTTTCTATATCAGTCATAAAATACACTCCAGGCTGACTGGGCTGAGTCTGAGTTCTCTTTGCATTCTGTAACCGATTCAGTCTCCCTCCCAGAACCGTGCCCTGCACAGGAGGATAAATTAGATTGCCTAATATTTCTTATTACTCTCCAATATGACTCTAATCCTACCTTGCATGGCTGCTATCCAAAAGTGAACTTCAAAGCATCCAAAATGGGATAAAATACATCCTGTTGGTTTCTGATAGGCAGCATTCTTGTCCAGTGGTGCCTTTTTGTGGGGATGTTTGAGGAGTAGGTATCCTACCGTCACCTTCAGCTGCGCTGCTTCTCCTGGGATAAGAGACTGCTGTAAGAGACAAGAAGCTGGGTGAGAAGAGCTTTGGTGGGACCCTGCGGGGCTGGTGTGTTCTCAGGTCCTCTTGCTTCCACAGCCTCCACCTGCTTCTCCTGGTTTGCTCTTCTGCTTCTTGGTTTTCTCCTGGATTTTACCATCTCAAAGCTGCCTGCTGAGGAGCACTGGCATGCTCTCGAGACTATACGGAGGACCGAAGTCTCCTACATGTCATGAAGAGAGGTGGTAGGTGAGGAGAAGGGAGTTTTGGGAAGGGAATGGAATTGAATTGTAATCTGAGTTGTTCGTTGAGGCAGAGTGTAGGCTTGCAGATCTTTGCCAGAAGATCCAGGGCTCATTTTATCTATAGATAGAATTCATATTATATTATATTGAAATGCAGGAAATTAAAGTGTTGGAAGTAGAACCAGTAAGTTTTGGAAGTAGAATATGAGCTCATGTACTTGGCTAATGATAACGTTTTGCACCTCCTTTTGTATCACATCCTAGTCTCTACTTTCCACTGTCCTCTGGTGAGAAAAACAGCTCCTTTCCTGTGTTTCAGGCCTCCTTTTAAAATTAACTTTTCTTGCAAAGATTATCAGTGTTCTCTCCTTAAGGGAAAGGGAGTTTGTATATCAGTTTTAATGTTAGAAACAAGTTCTTAAAACTCCCAAAGTAAGAATTTTAAGTCTTTGGTCACCAGAGTTCTGTTATCTGTATATTTGCAAGAGCTTTCAAGAGTTGCGAGTCGTTTGTGACATTTGTGTTAAGATGCTGTTTTAAGCAATATTCCAGGCAGTCATATGACAGATTTTCAGCAGTTCCCACATGTAGGAACACCAATATATATGCAACAAACATGCCTTGCATCGTGTATTTCAGGCACACATACATATCTTTTGAGCAGGCTTAATGCTGAATGCATGCAATGTCGGCATTATGGTGTCTTAGACTCTTCAGCGCACTTGGGCTGGGAGCACAGACGGAAATGTAAGAAGAGCTCACTCAGACCATGAAGGCAAAGAGGAGGAACACGTTTGGAGAGGGTGCGAGAGGAGAAGCAGCTCTGCTTTAAGGTGATTCTCTTAAAGCACTTCAGTTAAGATGTTTCACTGCATAAAACTGATGTAAAGGCTCATGTATATGTAAGCTGGTCAAGGAGAGGAGGTTTCAGAAGAATTCTTTCTAAGGAGTCTAAAATATGTGGTCAATCACATATCATCAGCTTTGAAGTGATAATGGTTCAAGATCAAGATTGTGAGCTGATCTGCAGGAATTCCTGCAGACCACCATTTTGTCTTCTGCAGGATTTCACTTACGTGTGGACATAATTTTACGCCCTTACCTAAACAATAGTAGGTAGACAGATGTGGGGGGAAATCTGAGACCTGAAGCTTGGTGGTGCAGCATAGCTTTCTATAGTGGCACTGGAGACTTGGTGAAGGTTTTGTAGAAAGGCATACAATCGTGATGGGGCAACTGTGAATGTCTGTGTGACTGCTGGAAGCAGACACAGACCATGCAGTGACCTCCAGTGTCAAAAGCTACACTGAGTAGAGGCAGGAGGAATATTAATTAAAATAGCCCATCAGAAGATGACAAGGGTCAAGCTTAAATGGGAAAGGAGAATTTGCATTTAATCTCCATGCAGAGCAGGAGTCTTGATATTGTAACAAAATACTTGGCTGAAGTGAGGTGTCTCCGATCAAGTGACAGTTCTTACTGGACTTGTCCTTTCTTTTTGTGTGCTTGGAATGAGCAG